CCATAGAGCTTTATAAGTGAACTTTATGAAATATTTAAAGATGACTTAATACCTAATTCTTCTCAAACTATTCTAAAAAATTGAAGAGGAAGAAATTTTTCCAAATTCATTCTACAAAGCCAGCATTACCTTGATAACCAAAACCAAAGACATATCCAAAAAAAAAAGAGAAGAAGAAGAAGAAAGAACAGAAAGGAAAATTGCAGGTCAGTATCCCTGATGAACAGAGATGCAAGAATCCTCAAAATATTAGCAAACTGAATTCAACAAAACATTAAAAGGATTATATATTATGATCTAGTAGGATTTATTCTAGGGAGGCAAGGATGATTCAATAGCCACAAAAATCGATATGATGCACATTAAAAATAACAAAAAAAGGTAAAAATTATATAGTTTCACATGCAGAAAACCATCTGATAAAGTTTAACATCCGTTTACGATAAAAACTGTCAACAAAGTGGATATAGAGGTAACATAACCTTAATATAATAAAGACCAGATAAGGACCAGCCCACAGCTAACAGCATATTCAAAGGTGAAAAGCTGAACATTTTTCCTCTAAGATCAGGAGCAAGACCAGGATGCCTATGCTCACCACTTTCATGCAACATAGAAGTGGAAATTCTAGCCAAAGCAATCAGACAACAAATATAAGGCATTCAAATTGGAAAAGAAGTAAAGAGGTCACTATTTGCAGATGATAGGTTACTATATGTTAAAAACCCTAAAGACTCCACCCAAAGACTATTAGAACTAATTAATGAATTCAGTACAGTTGCAGGTATCAAAATTAATATTCATAAATCTGTTACATTTTTATACACTGGTAATGAACTGTCAGATAAATTAAGAAAATAATGCCATTTATAATTGCATTAAAAAGAATAAAATATTTGGGAATAAATTTAGCCAAGATGAAAGACCTGTATTCTGAAGGACTTTAGCACGCCGATGAAGGAAATTGAAGAAGACACAAATAAATGGAAAGACAACCTGTGTTCATGGATTGGAAGAATTATCATTAAAATGTCCATACTACCCAAAGCAATCTACAGATTCAATACAATCCCCTTCAAAATAACAATGGTATTTTTTTCACAGAAGGAGAACAAACCGTAAAACTTATTCAAAGCCACAAAAGACCTCAGACAGCAAAAGTGATCTGCAGAAAGAACAAAGCTGGAGGTTTCAGGCTCTCTGATTTCAAACTATACTACAAACTATAGTAATCAAAACAGTATGATACTGGCACAAAAAGGGACACATAGATCAATGTAACAAAATAGCCCAGAAATAGACCCAAGGTTATAAATTCAATTAATCTTTGACAAAGAAGAGTATACAATGGGGAAAAGATGGTCTGTTCAATAAATGGTGCTGGGAAAACTAAGCAACGATATGCAAAAGAATGAACCTGGGCCATTTTCTTACAGTATACACAAAAATACATTCACAATGGTTAAAGATTTAAATGTAGGGCTGTAAACCATGTGGCCTCTAGAAGAAAACACAGGTAGTGAGTGGGTTTTTGTTTTGTTTTGTTTTGTTTCTTGAGAGAAAGTGAGTACACGTGCAAGCAGGGGAGAGGGGCAGAGGAAAAGACAGAATCTCAAGCAGGCTTCATGCACAGCGTGGAGCCTGATGCAGGGCTCGATCCCATGACTCTGGGATCATGACCTGAGCTGAAACCAAGAGTCAGATGTTCAACTGACTGAGCTACCCAGGTACCCTGTCAGCGAGCTCTTTGATGTCATAGTTTTGGCAATCTGTCTCCTCAGGCAAGGGCAACAAAAGCAAAAAAAAAGCAAAAATAAATGAGACTACATCAGACTAAAAAACTTTTGCGGACCAAAGGAAGCCATCAACAAAACATAAAGTCAAACTACTGAGCGGGAGAAAATATTTTCAAACAATATAACTGATAAGAGATTAATATCCAAAATATATAAAGAACAACTCAATTAAAAAAAATCCAATTTTAAAAGTGGGCAAAGAACCTGAATACACATTTCCCTAAGGACATACAGATGGCCAACTGACACATGAAAAGATGGTCAATTCACTAATCAGGAAAATGCAAATTAAAACCACAATGAAATATCACCTCATACCAGTCAGAATGGCTCTAATCAAAAACACAAGACACAATGAGTGTTGAGGATATAGAGAAAAGGGAACCCTATTACACTGTTGGTGGGAATGCAAAATGCTGCAGCCACTATGGAAAACAGGAGAGCGGTTCCTCAAAAAATTAAAAACAGAACTACCTTATGATCCAGCACTTCCATTTCTAGATATTTATCTGAACAAAACAAAAACACTATTTTTAAAAAAACAGATGCACCCCTATGTTCATGCAGCATTAATTACAACAGCCAAGCTATGAAAGCATCTTAAGTGTCTATCAACAGATGAATGAAGATGTGGTATACATAAGTGTGTGGACACACACACACACATACACAGGAATATTATTCAGTCATAAAAAAGATTGAAATCTTGCCATCATGGCAACATGGATGGACCTAGAGATTATTATGCTAAGTGAAACAAGTAAAAAAAAATTACGAATACCATATGACTTTACTTATATGTGAAATCTAAAAAAAAAAAAACAACAAAACAAAAACAGATTTATAGATTCAGAGAACAATCTGGTGGTTGCCAGTGGGGAGGGGTGGGAGCTGGGCAAAATAGGGGAAGGGAATTAAAAGATACGAAGTGCTGAGAACAAACTGAGGACTGATGGGGGTGGGGGGAGGGGAAGGGGGGTGATGGGCCCGGAGGAGGGCACTTGTGGGGATGAGCACTGGGTGTTATATGGAAACCAACTTGACAATAAACTATTGAAAAATATTTGATAAAAAAAAGATACAAAGTGCTAGTTATAAAACAAATTATTCATGCAGATGTAATGTGTAGCATATGGGACAGATTTAATATTGTAACAACTTTGTATAGATGTCAGATGGAAGCTAAATTGATCATGGTAATCATTTCATAATGTACATGTATGTTGAAGCTCTACATTGTACATCTGAAACATTGTACATCAATTAAAAAGAAGGAAAAAAAAAACCTAAATAAGCGATAGAGAATGCACAAATTAGAGACCAAATACACGCTGGGTCAAAAAGATTTCAGATTCTTCTTTCTATATCCTGACTCTCTTTCCTGGTCCCTTCCTCCACAAAAAAAAAAACAAACAAAAAACCAAGTTTGTGTTTATAGACATTAGCAGCAAGTGAAATACATCATTGGGAATTTAAAAATCCAGTTCTATATTCTCAGCACCAAGGTCAACATCATTTCATCTTTATATAAATTGAGATCGAATTTCAGTGAATGAATATAGTTTTAATTCTATATGTTTAACGTACTAGCTATATCATGGTACAAATAATCTGTGACTCCAAAAAATAGCTTATTTAATTATCCACTGTAACCAACGTTCTTCTATTTTAGGAATCTGTCGACTTAAATGTGCTTTCCTAATTCGGTGTGGTACTCACTATCTGATGGCTTCAACATCTTTTTTGAAAGTGGGTCTGCATGAATTCCCCACACCCAGAATCCATTTCCGCAAGTCTGTGCCGGCTCAGTTATTGTAAAAGCTTTTAGCTCCCAAGCATTTCTTGGCTCTGTTTTGGAGGCATATTCCCTTCCATACACTTCATTACGCATACGAAATGCTTGGGACTCCTCTGTACATAGTCTGTTTTTCGGTTCATCAGCATGGTTCCCCTTATTCAGCAAACCTGAAACCCGATTCCTCATGGGACCAGTGGTAAAACCCATGGCCACAGATCCATAACAGAGGGTGTACAGTGCAACAGGGAGCCTCAGCGGGGATGGGGGCACCCCAGTGCTGGCAGCTACCGGACTCCGCAAAGACAGAACCCTTATGAAAGCTGACCCCCTCACCGACAGACTGAGAATCTTCCCCAGTCAACCAGAGAGGAAGTGAAAGGGTTTTAAGCCCATTACGTAAGCAAGATTCCACCTGCAATTAAGTGATGTTTATGGTCTAATATAGTTCACTTTTTCTCTCATTTGCTTATTCCCCCAGGAAATATTAATTTTGAGCCCACTATGGGCCAGGTGCTGGGAATAAAGTTTTAGGTTTTCTAAGTGGCTCTAAACTTAGCACCCACGTTCAGTTGCCTTGCCATTCTGTCTCCTAAAATTCCTTAGAACATAAAAGTTGTTGCCTAACCTGTTGCGTCTGATCAGCCTGTTCCCTCCAAGAACGCAGGGCCTGTCAGCCAGTGCCGTGAACTCCCCCAGAGAGGAGCAGCGAAACGGTCACAGCGCAAGTCCAGCCTCCACGGCAACTCATGAGGAGAGATTATCGACCAAGGTGAACCAAACCCAGACCGCATGAGACGACTGCCTGTGCCTACCCTGGGCACAGCCTCCCTTAGCGGAGGGAAGGGTGAGGCCCGTGAGCTCACCTAGCCAGTCGGGACACCCATGGCCAAAAGGCTTCGTTCCAGAATGCACGCGGGACCCACATCAGATCCGAGCTGGGACTGTGCGTGACTGGCTGCTGGCAAAAACGTGTCCACAGAAGCAATCACTGAGGGAAACCCGGCGGCGGGGGGTGAAAAAGAGGCACAGAGGGGCCGAGGCCCAGGAGCCAGTGATGCCTGGGGTTTCAGTTCAGGAGCCCTTTGGTTTTGGCTGGTTTACTAACATCTGCACCTTTACTAACCCACTGACGGGGTGGGGGGGTAGGGGGGGGAGGGAGGAGAAGAGGAAGAAGACGACGACGACTGGCAGGCAACGCACTAACACAGCCTAGGAGACAGGGCCCCTGGAGCCGCTGAGAAACCCAACAGCGCTGCCTTGCTCCACGCACGGACTCACGGAGCAGAAGAGAATCAATAGGATCTTCCGGAGCGGAAGAGGCACGTCTTCTCTGCCTCTGTCTGCCCTTCGGTGCAGGGACCCAGAGAGGTTATTCCAGGTGAAAAGTAGAGTAGCGTGGGTGCTGAGATTTTGGGACAACCAAGCTGCCGTTATCGTGTTCACTTATTTTGACATCCACGTGGAGATTGGGATTCCCGGGACACGAGAACAAAGGTCGAGGGAGGAGGGAGGACAGGCACATTGTATCCCGAGAGAGACGGTTGCTCAGTAAGGCACGGGGCTCTGGGCAGAGACAGTGGCAGGGAGACATTGGGTGCAGGGCAGGCTGGCATGGGACAGGCCGGTGTCCACCGCGGGCTGCCGGAGCGGGAGCGCTGGTTGCACGAGCTGTCACCAGAGTGTGGCGGGGCGTCCTTGCTGGACAGACCCTCGCACCCAGTGGGGGTGGCCCTGGGCCTCACTCACTCAGTAGCTGTGCCTCCGGGAGAGCGTTGGCCTAGTTGCCAAAAGCATAGTGACCAGAGCGGCGAGAAATGGACACGCGCTGACCAGGGCCAACGCAGACTGTCGGAAGAGCAGCCCTCACTCCAGGACGGGGAAAGAGAAAGGCGTTAACGTGGGGCCGTGCAAAAGGCTGCACAGCCTAGGAGGTAACGTGAACGCTTTTCAGACCTCAATCTGAAGAACTTTCTATGCCTCAAAGAAATGGAAGAGGTAAAGGTTGATGTTTTTAAATTTTTTTTAATATTTACTTTTGAGAGAGAGCGAGCGAGAGCGAGCAAGCAGGGGAGGAACAGAGAGAGAGGGAGACACAGAATCTGAAGCAGGCTCCAGGCTCCAAGCTGTCGGCACAGAGCCCGACACGGGGCTGGAACTCATGTCCTGTGAGATCAGGACCGGAGCCAAAATCTGACGCTTAACCAACTAAGCCACCCAGGTGCCCCAAGGTTGATGTATTTAAACAAGTGAAAAACTAAACACTCTTAACAAATGTTCTAAACTGATGAGAATTATGGAAAACTCCTGCCTTCATATACAAAACAGGAAAATAATGGTTGTATTAGCACAATGCTGTTAAAAACAATACTTGTGCTCTGTTTTCCCAATGTGTTTTATGGTTGTCTTTCCACAAATTCTTTAATGTTTATTTTTGAGAGAGAGAGAGAGAGAGTGAGAGAGAGAGAGAGAGAGAGAATCCCAAACAGGCTCTGACAGTGCAGAGCCTGACACAGGGCTCAATCTCAGGGAATCGCAAGATCATAACCTGAGCTAAAATCAAGAGTAGGATGCTTAGCTGACTGAGTCACCCAGGTTCTTCTCCTTCCATATATCTTTAAACATCACCCAAAGAATAAAGAGTAATGGAATAATTTCAAACTGTTTAATCAAAGGATGTCTTTAATATACAGAAAGTATATTAAAATCACCAAAAGTTCTATCAAAAATGGCTAATATTGAAACACATATTGCAAATGAAAATAAAGAATTGTTTAGTCCCAGTTGTAATTAAAGAAGTAAAATGTTATAATTAAAGAAACGACACTGTTCTAGTATTTGATCAACTTAGCATGGATCACATCAAGGACTGATAGATGGGTTTACAGTGAAACACATGAACTAAAAGCAGATGAAAGTATAAATGTTTGAGATAACAATTCGGCTCATGCATCAAATAATTTTTTAAAAATCTACTTTGAATAAGAAATTCTCAATCTAAGAATTCGGCCTAGAAAAGGTATATGTTAAAAAGTCTTCATCAGAGGGGCACGTGGGTGGCTCAGTCAACTTTGGCTCAGGTCCTGATCTCATGGTTTGTGAGTTCGAGCCCCATATTGGGCTCTGTGCAGACAGCTCAGAGTCTGGAGCCTGCTTTGGATTTTGTTTCCTTCTCTCTCTTTCTGTCCCTCCCCTGCTCATGCTCTCTAAAAAATAAACATTAAACATTTTTTTTCAAAAAATCTTCATCACAGATTGCTTGGGATAGAGAAAATTTGAAGATTTATATTGAAGAAAAATGTCCCTATGTCTAGAGAATCATTTAATCTATTAGGACGTCAAAGTCAGAATAATATGCAGTCTGTGAAAAACATTTTTTTGAGGTATTTGAGTAAAATTATGTAATTTATGGAATTTGTTTTTAAAATTTTTTTAATGTTTCATTTATTTCTGAGAGAGAGACACACAGCATGACCAGGGGAGGGTCAGAGAGAGAGGGAGACAGAATCCCAAGCAGGCTCCAGGCTCTGAGGTAGCTGTCAGCACAGAGCCCGACCTGGTGCTCGAATCCACAAACCGTGTGATCATGACCTGAGCCGATGTTGGCCGCCTAACCAACTGAGCCACCCAGGCGCCCCTGGAATTTATTTTGAAAATATGCCAGGGGTGCCTGGGTGGCTGAGTTGGTTAAGCGGCCTACTTTGGCTTAGGTCACGATCTCAAGCTCGTGAGTTTGAGCCCCACATCGGGCTCTGTGGTGACAGCTCGGAGCCTGGAGCCGGCTTCAGATTCTGTGTCTCCCTCTCTCTCTCTGCCCCTCCTCTACTTGTGCGCTCTCTCTCACTCATTCAAAAATAAACATTAAAAAAATTTTTTTGAATATTCCAAGAAACAAAAGTGGAGGAGGGGGGTTGGAGATGAAGTAACACTATCAAATGTTTGTAATTGTTAAAATGGGAAAGCTATTCTGCTGTTCTCTCTTCTCTTGTATATGTTTGCAAAACCTACCCTGCATGTTTAAAATTATATTTGTAAAAAAAAAGTAAATAAAATAGAAATAGGATTAGAATAATGAATGCAACTTGACAATAAACTATTTGTAAAAAAATAAAAAATAAAAAAAAAAGAATAATGAATGCAAGATAGAAAAGTTGCATATCTATATACACACATATTTGTATAGTTTCTAACCTTTCAACATAGTTCAAGCCTAATTCCATCCCATCATTTCTCATGCATAGTTTAGAGCATAGAGCTGTCCAGTAGAAATTTAATAAGAGCCAATAAGTAAAGCTTTCTAGCAACCATATTATATAAGATACATTTTTAAAAGCAGGTATTTTAACGTACTTTAACACAGTGTATAAATTAGTACTATTTTTTTGTTTACTTTTGAGAGTGCATTCATGCATGCACGTATGGTGGGGGAGGGGCAGAGAGAGGGAGAGAGAAGCCGAGAAGCCAAGCAGGCTCCGGCCTGTCAGCACAGAACCCGATGAACCAGGAGATCTTGATCAGAGCTGAAATCAAGAGTCAGACACTTAACTGACGGAGCCACCCAGCAGCTCCCAAAATATTACGATTTCAACATCTAAGCAAAAGTGGAGATATTTCACATTCTTTTTTTTATCGTTGGAATCTCCTGTGTGTCTTACACGGTAGCCCATCTGTGCTGTGAAGCAGCACATTTCAACTTCCCGTGAGGCTCGTGGCTACCACGATGGACAGAGTCCAGGGCCAGCCCTCTTCAACCCGTCACCTTATGTAGTGGGCTCCTGAGCAGTCCATTTTCAAACCAAAGAAACTGGGCTCCCCAGTTTTGCCCCAACCCCCAGCCTGGGCTCTCAGAAGACAGTAGGCCCTGTCAGACAATGCCAGGAAGTTCTAAGGGTCCAGGAATCTGGCCAGGCACAGGCCTCAGCTTCTCTTCCTTTCTCATTTCTTCTCTTTCTCCAATCCCCTGCCATGATCTTGGCATGAATTTCTGGCTCCTCAACAGGTCTCTAAGGGACTCTTGTTCTTGTTTTCTCTCCCTCCTTCTGTTGCTCTCATTTTCTATTTTGCACAAAAATGTGCATGTATATACACTGTAGGGACTAAGTTGTGTCCCCCCAAATTCATGTGAAAGTCCTAACCACCAATACCTCAGAATATGACTCTATGTGGAGGTAGGGCCCTTAAGTTAAAGGAGGTCACTCGGGTGTCTCTAATCCAATTGGACTGGTGACCTTATAAGAAAGGAAAATTAGGACACAAAGGTATAGAGGGAAGACCATGTGAAGCCATAGAAAGGAAATGGCCATCTACAAGCCAAAGAGAAGACCCTAGAATAAATTCTTCCTTCATGGCCCTCAACAGAAACCAAGCTTGCTTATGCATTGATCATGGACTGCTAACTCCAGAACTGTCAGGAAACACATTTCTGTTATTTACTCCCCCTAGTCTGCGGGACTAGGTTGTGGTCCCCTCCAACCCCACCCACCAACACATAGCTTTCAGCCGACTTACTCTTCCTTCCAATAAGTTAAACTCAACTGGCACTAGTCAAGAATTTCTGTACTTCTGGGGCACCTGGGTGGCTCAGTAGGTTGAGCGTCTGACTTCGGTTCAGGTCATGATCTCACAGTCCGTGGGTTCGAGCCCCGTATTGGGCTATGTGCTGACAGCTCAGAGCCTGGATCCTGCTTCAAATTCCATGTCTCCCTCTCTCTCTGCTCCTCCCCTGCTCACTCTCTGTCTCTCAAAATAAAATAAAGACATTAAAAAAATTAAAAAAAAAAAAAAAAGAATTTCTGTACTTCTATCCAGTGAGGAAGGGCTGTGGACATGAGGTAAGGAATACCTTGTGGGCGATAGAATTCTGTTATTTGCAGAAAACTGGGTCAGAAGTCAAAATATGCCACCTGCCCTTTTTCTGCACCAGCTCATTTTGTTTCCCTAAGCAAATCCCTTAATTTCTCAGGGCATCTTCTCATCGATGAAGGGAGAGGCTTCAATGAGACAATCTTTAATGGCTCAAATAAAATCTCAAGATTGTGTGGCTCAGCCTGGTTCAGACACAGGCTCCATATCACATTCTATATCCATAGCTCCCTGAATGAGAGCGGACAGTGGCTGGGATAATATTTAGTTTTCAAAAAAGTTTTAGTTTAAATTATTTTAGCTTGACGCCAGTTGTTTGGTTTTGCCTGCTCTGATGTTTCCCCACCCTGTAAACATATAAGCCTGGGGAGAACATAAAGAGGGGGTGAACAAACTCCTAATTGTTGCATAAACTGTGATCAGGGGTTAAACGTGAGGCTGAAATGCCCCACATTTGTGATACATTTGAACCAAACTGCTGGTGAGCCACAATTTCTGCACTTCATTTTTCTTGATGTTGGACCAGAATGAATGCTTGGAGTTCTAAGAGATCTTAGGACAAGTCCTTCCAGACACGGGTGTTACTGCTCTTTGTTCGATCACAGCCACATCCTGGTGATGTATTTATTTCTCTCTCTTCAGGAATGTTTAGGGAACAGACGCAATGCAGTGTCCTTGAGGACTGGAAATCTCTTTCTGCCTTGCTTGTTCTTTTTGCTGCAAAGGAGTTAAAGGGCTCTGCTGCTGTTATGAGGAAATATACAAGCCATATGCTGACACCCCCAGCACCTTAGGGATGTCTGCGAATGAGAAACAAAGGCAACGTTATGTCTAAATAGAATTGTGTAAGGACTTAGGAAAGGGATGGATGGAGGATACAAATACTGTGATCACATTCAGTGTCCTCTTCATGAAAGCACCTGCTGCCACGAGGCCATCAGCAACAGTAGCTGAAAGCCCTAGGAAACTCACCAACTAGAAGCTCTGGAGCTGCCAGACTACAACCAGGATTCTTTTGAAACAAAACATTTGCTTTCCATAAAGATCCCCGCAGAAGGACCAGCTCCTCCAGAGCATAGTACTGTGACAGTCCCCATAGGAAATTTTCCTCGTGCCCGTTGGGGAAGAACATCACCAAAAAGACCATTTGGGGGAGGAAGTTCCAGCCACAGGGGTCAGAATAAACAGTGGAATTCTTGAAAGCCTCCACATCATTCATGCTGGAACATAGGTGTCAGAGTCAGCCGTGGAAGAGCCCAGCTTGTGCCCTACCCCAGGCTGATGGGTCTCTGCTGAGGATGCATCTGCGGGCAAGTTCAGGTGCAGCCTTCCCTTGCAGAAGGCTGCCAGGCATCCTCTGCTCCAAACACGTCCCCCTCCGGCAGCCTGCTACACTGATGTTCTCTTCTTCCTTTGGGGTGTAAAGGTCCCATCAGGGGAGCTGGGTTATTAAAGAATAGCAGGAACATTCTCCCTCAAAGACTCTTACTGAACACCTATGCTCCCTACATGCAAAGAGGGCCCCGCATGAGCACAGAGCATGATTTTGTTTATTTAGTGTATCACTTTCTGGGTAGCGTAGTTAAGCCTGGCAAAAGCCTGAGCTTTACCTTTTTTAAAAAAAATTTTTTTTAATTTTAATTTTATTTCTAGGAGAGAGAGAGACAGCGTGAGCAGGGGAGTGTCAGAGAGAGAGGGAGATACAGACTCTGAAATAGGCTCCAGGCTCTGAGCTGGCTGCACAGAGCCCGACGCAGCCTTGAACTNAGATACAGACTCTGAAATAGGCTCCAGGCTCTGAGCTGGCAGTCAGCACAGAGCCCGACGTGGGGCTCGAACCCACGAACCGCGAGATCATGACCTAAGCGAAAGTCGGATGCTCAACCGACTAAGCCACCAGGCACCCCATGAGCTTTACCTTTTAATACTCTAGGTGGCCCTGGAAACAGGGGCTGGGGGACTTGGGGGGTTGAAAGGGCCCAGTAGAACGCACTTAGGAAATAGATTTGCCAGAGGAGCTTGTTAAAAATAGAACCTGGGCCCCACTCTCCCCTTAGGAATTAGAGCCCCTAAGAGTAATTCTCAGCGAGGGGCAGTTTTGTTCCCAAGAGACATTTGACAATATCTAAAGATTTTTTGATTGTCACAGCTGGGAGGTTGCTACTAGCATCTAGTGGGTAGGAGCCAGGAGGCTACTAAGCGTCTCACAGTGCACAGGACAGCCCCTATGACAAAGAAGGATCTGGTTCCAAATAGCGATAGGGTGGAGACTAGAAACCCCACTATGTGCTTAGAGGGAGGTCAAGTACCTGTGTTTTTAAACAAGCTCTCAGGAGATTCCAATGCACACTGAGCTTTGAGGTCCTCTGTCCATGCCTTAGAGGCCAGCTGATGATGTCAGGTTGCCAGGACAGTGAGGGTGGGGGAGGTAGACATGGGAGTCTGTGAAATATGCCCCGATTGGTAGCACTGAAGACCATTACGGACTTGGTACAAAGTTCTTCTAAGACAGCCCCTGGAAGACTTCACCAGAAGACTTAAAATGGGACTGTGGGCATGTGTAAGCAGAAGTCTGGTTACTCCGAGCAGAAAGGCAAGGGAATTGAGGAATAGCTGTGCCTCTGAAATATCAGCCTCACTGCCAGTTTCTCCATCATTTCCTTCATGACTTTGTTGATTCTTTGAGAGTGTTTACAAGTCCTTTCCCAGTGCACTATGCTTCTGGGTAAGGTCCGACCTTCAACCTTAAGTGTCAGAAGTTGATAAAAGCGGAGAGCAGGCCTTGTTTTGGTCACTTGGTATGCAACCTAAGGCTAAGAGAACCTGTCTTTAGAAAAACGGGTGAAAAAGTTCAGGAGAAACATCTCAAATGTCTTCTACATTGCAAGCCACCAGAATATCAAGAACAAAATGATTTGGGCTCTTTTGGTCTCTGTACCAATACATGCTTTGGCTAGGCTGCTCTCTCTGGGGGTCTCAGTGTCCTTGCCCGTGACAATGCTTGAATTAATTCACTGCAATGCTGTAAGGATTGCTAAGCAAAGGAACAAGAAATGGCCTATAAAACATTAGAGTAGAAAGAAAAGACTGCACTTGAGTGTGGAAGGTAAGGAACGAGTAGTGTTAACCTGCTGTAAATGAAAATGTTTTTCTATTAAGTCATGGGTGGAAAAGATGTTTGTCAATCTTGGAATACAATGAATCCTCATGGCGAAGTCAGAAGAGAAATAGTATTTTCTTTCTGCGTAACTCAAAGGTTTAGACTTTAAGGAACCCAAAGGACATAATCCAAGTTACATGGGACCCACCAATATTGCTGTTTCCACTACAAACAAAGCCTATTTCATTAGGTTATTTAGACGCTGTAAACAGACCACACTTTGTTGTTTGGTTGGTTAAGGCAGGATTCTTTTGGTCCTTTTTGCAAATTCTATTGCAATCAGGATCTTTCTCCTGAAATGCTATTTCTATGACATAAACCCTGCATCCTGATGTAGCTACAATGAAAGATTGCCCCCTCCATTCATAACAGCAATCTTTAATTCTGATTACCTGCAAGGGCATGTGAGAAATCAATCTAATAAAACAAATTGGCCTGTTGCATTGCGAGCGAAATGTTAATTTTTTCCTATTCACAAATACTTTTGGAAACCATATTTAAGTCCTCAGATGTAAATGTTACTATCAGTTATAATAAACAACAACCATGGTGATCTGTTTATAGAAATTGGAGGGGGAGGGCAAGAGCCAAGAAAGGAGGAGCGGACTCAATGATCGGTCCCAGATCCTGAGTCACCTCCCAAACCCAGTGCCGTGAGGATGTCAGGTGCTCCCTAGAAAATCTCTTTTTTAGGCTCTTTTCTTCTTACTTACTTTCATTTCCTTGATTATTTCTCCATCTATTGGCTTTGTTCACGAGCACACAGGGCTGGGAATATCTCACCTTTCATATCTGGCATGGCATCTGATAACGGTTGACCAAGACACCATTACCCCCATTTTACAGATAGAGAAGCTCCAATGCCAAAGTACTAGACTTCATCAAGGTCACTACCTTGTGGATCAATCCCTTGACCCTGACCTAAATTTTTAAACAAGCATTTTGCAACATCTTTATCATTGTAACTATCTTTATCATTGTTTTCTTGGTTATTCTACCTAACAAGATAGCACAATTTCCCTTATTTAACCATGAATAGGCAGAAGAATCACATTAATGCAATGCCCTTCATCTGCAAAGGTACGGCCAATATTCAAGTTCAAGTCAAACACTCATGGGAATCTCTTGGGACATGCCTAATGGAGATTTCCTCCTGCAAATGAAGCCATCCATCATCGTGTGAGGAGGTGGTCACTGCTCTCATCCTTCAGAAGATGATCCTAACACAAAGGGCACAGCCACCAAAGGCATCCCGTGAGGGACTCTTTCTGTGGAAGGCAAGCACAAAAATGGCCACAGTCAAGTATCTAGAAATGTTACGAAGTGGAATGGTGCCTGGACCACAGGCAGCTCCTGACCTCAGGTTTCCCCGTTCTCCTACACCTTTGTCCAAGAACATAACAGGTTCTGCAAACATGCCTCATGAAAACTTGCTCAGCAGGACCAATTTACCAACTCGGGGGCAGATCTTAGGGCCACTCCATTCCAAGTGCAGCCCTTCTATTTCCACATCACTTATTTACAAAGAGCTCTGCAGATACTGATGTGACACAGCTTCCCTGAATGAAGGCTCTAAATGCCTCTCGAGACCCTTTGATTACACTGAGGAAGCACGAGGTGCTCACGAAAAAAAAAAAAAGTCACTCCTTTGTTTTTCTAGAAGTAGCTGATTCTCTTCCTCTTCTTGCTTCTACACCTAGCGATGCATCAACTTGGTTAAAAGACACCAGCACAGAAGTTGCAGTAGGCTGCATTTCTGACAGAAGAACACAAATAGTAGCATCAATGCAGACTTTCCGCTCTAACCAAGGGATCCTTCTTTTCACTGTTGGTAGCAAAATCTAATGGTCTCTGACATGGTTTTAGCAGTGGTGACTTCCTAGGAAAATCTACATTTTGTTTATTGCTTTGTTTATATCCCAAGCCAGCCATCATCCTGCCATGTCATGAGGTGAAGAGACTCACTTCCAGGTTTATTTTCTTTGCATTTTAAGGTGGTGGTGGGCAAAGTAGACAGAAGTTCCTGTCAAAAGTGATTTGCCTTCGGGGCGCCTGAGTGGCTCTGTCAGCTAAGCATCCGACTTGAGCTCAGGACATGATCTCATCACATGAGTTCGAGCCCCACATCAGGCTCTCTGCTGACAGACTGCTTCGGTTCCTGTCTCCCTCTCTCTCTGTCCCTCCCCAGCTCGTGCTTTCTGTCTCAAAAGTAAATAAAAACATTAAAAAAAAATTTTTAAGTGATTTGCCTTAAAACAGGCAAAAAAGGTGTATAATTTTTTTAAAGGCTGCCAACTTGCATAAATACCTGGTACTTTTTAGTGGAGTCAAACACCCAGCTAACTAGGAAGACATTATGTGTATGCTTCTAAAAACTTTGAAATGGTACACACCACCCTTAAAGTCCTATGTGTAAAACAGCCTGAGGTCCAACTTTTCTTAATCAACTGAATCTTCTGCCCAAGGGCAGAGTTCCAGCCCTCCCAATGTCCAGGCGTGCACCTGGATGGAAAAGGGAGACATGCTGTAGCCAGTAGCCGAATGCACACAAACACACATACACAGTGAGTAGTTACAGAGGATTGGGATGTGGTCACTGTCCAGCTTCCTTTAATATTCATGCACCCTCTCTCTCTCTCCATTTTCTCTAACCCACCTTTGTGCCAAACACTCGCTCTGCCATCAGACTCACAAGACTCTCAGATCTGCCTGAGCCCCACACCAGTGGGCAGTCCTGGGCACCCTACCTTGTACTGTTCTCCTCCACCTGACAGGAGTCTAGGACCACAAATTACCACACAGCCAAGGAAGAGGAGGTCATTGAAAAACAAGGGATGGTGAGGGGGATGTGATGGGAGCTTTTAATGAAGAGCACTCCTTACTCATTAAACATACAACCAGTTCCTTCTTCTGGGATGACGGTGTGGGGAAGTCAGTGACCTGGGTGAGCAGGGACAGTCTCCTAAGGCTGGGTGGAGCTTGGCTACTATTAGTAACTGCTTCTCTAATTACTCTGATTTGGAATGTGAACTATTAGAGGACTCTGTAAAGAAATTTGTATAGCAATTGGTTTCAATCAGCTATTGGTTAAATACAAAGATCTCCTTAAAAAACCACCACAGCTGCCGCTGCCACCACCACCACCACCATCCCACCCCAAACTCACTTCCAAGGCTGGCACTCAGAACACATCACAAGAGACCATGCTTAACGCACCAGCCTCAAGGGTGGGTGTCTAGCTCGCCCCTGGGTGGGACCCCACCATGCCTGCGTTTTATCCATACTTTCTATGGGACTGCCCACAAA